TGTCTGTGTGCACATATATGTGTATATGTGTGTGCTTCTGTGTGTGTCTATCTCTACCATCGTGCTACAATTAAATATACAACTATATATATATATATACTCTCGAAAACAAAGAGCAAGTTTTAATGATTTTTGTCCTCAAGAAGCTTTGCAGCAGACATGGAATTCTACAAGTGTTCAGCAATGGTTTGAGTGACAAAATTGCCAATAGGCCAGTGACTTGCACCAGTTTCTTCTCTATTGCTTTATCAGCTACTGCCTTGTCCCCTTCCCAACTATTTTCATTTATTACAACCACTCATATCCCCTGGCCTAACCTAAATCTGAGTTTTACCCTCTACTGCTCTACCTCTTTGCAAGATTTTTTAGATAAAACACATAAATTAGTGATTGTGAGAAAAACAATTTCAGTTTTCACAAATTTATTTTTTTAATATATAAACCTCTAGGTCAAGTAAGTTAGCTAGTTTAGTGGCCTCAGGCTTGTAATGCTCTTTTAGAAAGCAAGAACTATTTCCTTGGAGGGTTGGGGTCCTTCTACTGCCGTATAACATATTACCCCAAACCTTAGCAACTTAAAAACATTTATATCTCATGGTTTCTATGGCTCAGGCATCCAGACATGACTTACCTGGGTTCCCTGACTCCAGGTCCCTCACAGGCTGCACTTGAGGTATTGGCTGGGCTTGTCATCATCCCAAGGCTGTTAGGGGAGGAAACACTTTCAACATCATGCACATGGTTGCTGTCAAGCTTCAGTTTTGTACGGGTTGTTGCACTGAGGGCCTCAGTTACTCACTGACGCTGCCGAATGCTATCCTCAGTTCACTGTCACGTAGGTCTCTCCACATGGCAGTTCAAAACATCACCTGAACAAGGAAGAGCGAGGCGAGTGCAAGTGAGAGGAAAGCCAGTCTTTTGTGACCTGACCTCAGAAGTGACATCCCTCCAGGCCCTATCCATTCATTAGACCTGAGTGTTTAGGTCCTGTCCCCACTCAAAGATGGGGGTTACACAATGGTATGACTACTAGGTAGACAAATTCATTCTATCTGATATGGCCTGTCTCATGTGGTAAACTCTTTATCAGTACTTTCCTCAACTTCTTCATAATATTCTCAGCCTAGATCACAGCATTTGTTGACAGGCACACTTTAAAATAATAATTTTTTTTCTCATTACTCTATTTAGCATACACATTACTCTCCAAAATTTTAATTCCTTTACTCTTCAAATGCAAATTTATTAAGCACCTACTCTATGCATCTGAAATTGTACTAGTTATTGGAATTTCCAAAATGAATAAGAACTCAGAAACAAGTTTTTAACCTTCACCAAGTTTTATGTATAATTTTAATTAGCTTCATTTTAAAGTGGAAATGCCTGCTTAAAACTTAATCTTGTAACAATATTTTTATAGAAAAATAATTAGTCTTTTGTATAATGTATACTTCAAGAATTATGCTATCAGGTTAGTTATGTGTTTGGGTTTTAGAACTTGGCAGGATAAATACCCACTTGAAAATGCATTATTGCTCCTAATTTTGTTGTGCATATTAATGTTCTGTTTATATCATTAAACTGGCTGCACTGATTTAAATTTCTGTTTATAATAATGTGTGAACCCAGACATTTATAGTAGGAATATTAAAATGAACAAGGCTATTAAAATAAAATAGTCCATAACAATTTCAATTCTCTCAATCTCCTTCTCTCTCTCTTAATACTATTGATTAATTTCATATTAATTTTCTTCTTAAAAATATTTTTTTATTGATTTCAGAGAGAAAGGGAGAGGGAGGGAGAGATAGAAACATCAATGACGAGAGAGAATCATTGATTGACTGCCTCTTGCATGGCCCCTACTGGGGAGTGACCTCACAATCTGGGCAAGTGCCCCGACCAGGAATCAAATCATGACCTCTTGGTTCATAGGTTGACACTCAACCACTGAGCCATGCCAGCTGGGCTCATATTAGTTTTCATTAAACTTAAAGTTATATTCCCTTTGAAAATTGCTTTTCTTCTTTACTCTAAAATGCATCACAAATTAATTGTAAAACCACTAAGCACATAGCTATAGGATGGAGAACGACTGCTTTAAGACAGACCAAAATAATACATGTGATTTCTAGATGTCTATCTACTGGGGTATGTATCACATTGAAACCAATGCAGCTTGTTTAACCAAGAGTCATATGGGCTGGTTCTCCGAATCATCCTGCCCCTGTCACAATAGAAATAGCAGAAGGTCGAAAGTAAAGAAGGTAAGATATGATAGATCAGTAGCATGGGGTAATAATGATAGTTTGATGATAACTGAGTGTAACGTGAGCAGATAGAAAAGGAGTAGTTACTATGAAAATTATCTAGAGCTAGCCACATAGCTGTCATTTGGTTATTTTTAAAATGAGTTCCACACATATATACAAAAAATGTTAAAGGTTAATAAATAATGGCATTGTTCAAAAGCTTAGAAATGTTTACTTACCTTTGTATTATGAATCCTTTCTAAGATGTTTGGTAAGACCATTGTAGATGGTAGGTAAAATATTCACTTGTTTCATGGGAGCACCAACCAATACAAAATGTTTGTTCAGCTAGCATCTGACTCAATCTGGAAGCCTAGGGGTTACACTTACCCCTGAGGGACAAGGAGAGGGTTTACCAGGGTTCAGTAAATAAAGGATATCAACTCTCTAGAGCAGTGGTTCTCAACCTTCCTAATGCCACGACCCTTTAATACAGTTCCTCATGTTGTGGTGTATGCTTCTTCATTCTTAGCTCATCTACTTCTGAAGTATTACCCAGTGTCAGCCAAGCATCTTTGTAACAAGACTTGTGGACAAGTCCTGTATTTACTGGAAACACTTGATCAGTTACTTCTCCTGATAGAGAAAAATAGAGTTCACTAGTGGCTTTCACACTTTTCAAAACACCAAACTCATCTTGTTTGTTCAATTTCGTCCCAATTTCAGACTGACTACAGTAAACAGCATCTCTAAAAGCTTCCTGTGCAAAGTTGCTGGTTCCCGCTGCTCCAATACCATTTTCTGCTGTTATCCATTCATGTTTCTCTGCGAATTTATGGACAGAAAGCAGATAGGGCCTGGTGCGCAGCATCCAGACAGCGCCCGCCCCCAGGCCCCAGTACCAGAGTGGGCAGGATTTTGGGTCATCAAGGCAGTGGGTAGGCTGCAGGCCCCAGCCTGCACTCTTCCCACTGCTCACAGTGCCGTGTTCGCAGGAGTGCAGGGCTCATGGCACGGCTCCTCTGCCATCTGAGCTGGTGGGGGCCTCAAGTGAATTTATTTTGATGAAATCAGTTTATCTCCCTTGCTCCAGAGTAGACAAAATTGCTACTTTGTGGGGAGGATGGTGGGGTGGCAATTTTGATAGTTACAGTTGGATAGATGAAACTTAAATCCAGTGACTAGAGGCCAGGGGTGGTGCTAAACATCGCACAGTGCACAGGGCAGCTCCCACAACAAAGAGTGAGCTGGCCTCAAGTGTTAACAGTGCCAAGGCTGAGAAGCCCCTAGCTAGGCCTAAAGTGGACCCTGAGAGAAGGGATGGAGGAAGGCAGAGGAGAGAAAGTGGTGCTGTGTCCTCTCCTCCAATGTCAGTCGAGGAAGGAAGAGGAACAATGGAGCCCCTTATATGATCAGGGCAAATGTAAGTACAGAAGAGACTGGTGTCCTGTTTTGCAACTGCAGCACAAGAAAGAAAGCCCCCAAATATGCCAGGTGCGGGGGGGAGGGGGTGAGGGGGAGATTGTGACATCTAGGCATGAGCGATACTCAGATAACCCCCTTAGCTTCTCACAGGTCTGAGCATGGCATGGGGGTGTAAGTTTCCCAAAGTCCCAGAGGGAACTGCAGAGTAAGCCAAGAAATAACTTAAAGAAAAAAGGGGGTCACCTCAAATGGGTGCACAGGCACTGCCCTTGGGGCTCTCAGAGGGAGCTGACTATGCACCATGGCCAGCACCTGGCTCCGTCCAATACACCTGGACATCAGCACTGGGACTAGCCTAGGCCAGCTCTTGGGTCTAACATGACAGGCTGTGATTATTACCATGATGCTGTTCAACTAAGACCTGAAACGTGCCCCTCCCTCCCTCACCACCACCACACACGCTGTGCTAAACACCACCCCTGGGAACTAGCATGCGGGGCCCACATCCGATGATTTTAAAAGTAAAACGGGAGAAAAAAGTAGGAGAAGACCCTAAGGGAAACAATGACATGGAGGTGAGCCTTTGAGCACCACTGAAGTGCCCTGAAGTGGCTAAGCTCTTCTTAAGTGGCCTGAACAATTGTGGAATAGGACTGAACATACCTAAAAGTGTATACAGTAACTCATCTGAGAGAGGCTCAAAAATTAGTCAACAAAAATTCCATTTTTACACCCCTGTTATATGGACTGCTGTAATTGTGAAATATCGTACCCGTTACAATACCTCTGGTGATTTTTATTTCTTGACATTGAATAGTAAACTGTGAGAGGCATGACCTTCAATATAACTGATCATTACCTTCCCTTCACTTTACTGTTTCATTTCTAGAAGCTGTATTCCTTAATAATATGAGGCCGTCTGCCAGTGGTTTATATATTGTCATCACACATCCCTTTTCATCTCATCAATCCTTACTCCTTCTATTTTGTCAACTTAGACTTAACTTCCACCTAGAAACTTTCTCTGACCACTCCAGATTCAGTTAAAAGTCCCTAAAATGCATTTTCTTCTTTTTTCTTCACACATACAACTTCCAGTTTAATATCTAAAATTGGTTCTACATTTGTGAAGTAATAACAATGTTGATAATATTGTAACTTTTATGAGCATTTACAATTATCATATTTTTTTCTTAAACCTTTATTGTTGAAAGTGTTACAGAGGTCCCCTTTGTTTGTTTCTAGTTATTTTCCCCCTTGACACCCTCCACCCAGTACCTGCCCTCTCAGGCCTTCACCACTCTATTGTCTGTGTCCATGGGACATGATATCACTCATGTGTGGAATTTAATGAACAAAATACATTTCCTTGTTCACTTTGTTTTAAATAAATTTATTGGGGTGACATTGGTTAATAAAATTATGTAGGTTTCAAGTGTACAATTCTATAATACATCATTTGTATATTGCATTGTGTGCCCACCACCCAAAGTCAAATCTTCTACCCTTACCATATATTTGACCCTCTTTTCCCTTCACTATCTCCCATCTTCTCCCTTCCCTCTGATAACCGCCATACTGTTGCCTGTTTCCATGAGCTTTTGTTTGTCTTATTTATTTATTTGTTGCTTTCAGTTTTATATCCCACATATGAGTAGAATCATATGGTTCTTGACTTTTCCTGTCTGACTTATCTATTCTCAAGATTCATCCGTGTTGTCATAAATGACCGAATTTATTTCTTCTGATAACTGAATAGTATTCCATTGTATATATGTATGACATTTGAAATGCATTTTCATAGCACTTAATAAACTTTATTGTAATTATTTATTAAATCATTCATTGTCTCTGAAGACAAGGTCTTATTGCTTGTCATTGACTTTTCTAACATGGTTTTTAACACATTGCAGGCATTAACGAATGAAGGCTTACCTAACTAATTAAGTCTGACAAATCTGCAATGACAGTCAAGTTTAAAAAGCTAATTATAGAGCTTTCAACCCCTATCCCATTTTCTACATTCAAAAGTTTTATTTGTGTCACGCATGAGTATCATTTATGAAAATTATTTGTTTATTAGAGTCAACTTAGAAACTATGATGCTTCCATTTCCTAAGTGACATAAGGAGGACCATGACATGTAAGAGAGGGAATGATAAATTAGATGTTAGAGTTCGAAGCTCCCAAGGGCAATATATGGGCCTGTTTCACAGAACCACATGCACATAGCTAATATCTAATTGGCTTCCCGTGAATGTGAAAGGAAAATGGGTAGAAAATACCGGGGGCTTTAGAGGCTGGCACGACCAAAGTAAAGTGCTGGCACCACTGCTTACTAACTTTGTGATCTTGAAAATAATCTATTTAAGTGTCTGTTTTTCAATACACAGAAATGGGCAAAACAATAATTACTTGTATCATTGCTTATTAAATATTTATGAGTGCATGTATGTGCATTTTCATCTCAGTGGTCTAGGCTAAATAATAATCTAATTTCTTCCCATAAAAATACTAAGTGTCGTTAGCTCAGATTTCCAATTCTTCTAATGGGAGAAGTCAATTGCTTTCCTGAATTCCAGAATAATACCTTCTGTTGACCTGGAAATGAACTGCTTTTTTAAAAATTTATCTTTATTGTTGAAAGTGTTACAGATGTCACCCCTTTGTTTCCTTATTGACCGCACCCATTCTCTCCCCAGACCTTCATCTTTTTTTTTTTTTTTTTTAATCTTCAAGCTCTTCACAGGAATAGCCCAAGTTGCTCTCTACTCTCATAGCCATGGTATGCTATACAACATTTACTGGATTTCTGATTATTAATTTCTGAGCCTACTTCACCAACAAAATTTTAAAGTTCAGAGTATTTCTTAAAAAGTATGGAATTCCCTTTAGCAAAACTTGCTGAGTATTAAACACACACACACACACACACACACACACACACGCACGTCCTCTCTCCCCTTGATAAGCAAGCTGAGGGACCAAGGTCTGGACAATGTCAATGTCTCAATTTCTCATTTTGCTTACAAAGCTGGTGACGCATGGAGTTAACAGAATGGATGTGCTGATAACTGAGCTATCTCATGATAGAAATGATGACTAAAGATGTAATTTCTCTGACTTTTAATCCTATCACACTGAATTGGAGGAGAAAAAAATAATTACATGTGGTCTTGAAATCAGTTATTAAGCAAAAAATTTTTAAAATGCAAATTTAATATCCATTATAGGATTAAATTCTGCCATTATGTCTCGGAGCCTGTCGATAACTTCTCATCTCTAAGGCTTGACACAACTTCCTGTGATCTTCCCCTTCAGCGTCTCTCCACTTCTTTCCTGATTCTCATCCTCACTTTACACTATGCTCCAGCCATTCTGAAATATTTGTGATGATCAAACAAACTGTGCTATTTCACCCCTTTGTGACCTAGCCCTCCTATGCAGAGTTTATCACTACCACTTACTATACTGTACAATTCAACTATTTATTCAACAAACATTTATTAAGTGCCGTCTATGTCTCAGTTATAGCAGAAGGTTCTGGGAAAATACAACACTGCAGGCATGGCCTCTTGCCCTAGAGCAGCAGTTCTCAACCTGTGGCTCGCGACCCCTTAAGAGGTCGAACGACCCTTTCACAGGGGTTGCCTAAGACCATCCTGCATATCAGATATTTACATTATGATTCATAACAGCAGCAACATTACAGTTATGAAATAGCAACGAAAATAATTTTAAGGTTGGGTCACAACATGAGGAACTGTATTTAAAGGGCCAGAAGGTTGAGAACCACTGCCTTAGAGGGTTTGAGATCTTATAAAGGGAGACCTGCAGATGAATAAATGCTCAGGGAGGATATGGGGGGCACAATAGAACTTAATTTTATTCATAACAGCAGCAACATTACAGTTATGAAATAGCAACGAAAATAATTTTAAGGTTGGGTCACAACATGAGGAACTGTATTTAAAGGGCCAGAAGGTTGAGAACCACTGCCTTAGAGGGTTTGAGATCTTATAAAGGGAGACCTGCAGATAAATAAATGCTCAGGGAGGATATGGGGGCCGCAATAGAACTTAATTTTGCATATAGTGAAGGGTGTGGAAAATTTCAAAGGGGTGAGCAGATTCAGAAAGGGATTCAGAGGTGATGAAAATCGAGCTGAGCCTTAAATAAAGGCAAAAAAGCAGAGAGCTGAGGAGGAAAAGGTAGTTATGACTTTTCCTGGTGTATCAGGGAAACTACCTGAAGGAACTACAAACATTATGGAATAGTGGTTAACAGTTAACAGGGTGTGCCTGGAGTTTAATATCTGAGTCTGCATTAATATCTGATTCTGTGGCTCCATGTCCCATGTATACATATTCACAGCTATTAATTTCCTCATCTATAAAACGCAGTTAACCATCTTCCACAATGCCATAAAAATTAAAGTAGCACTTA